CAATTAAAATGGTAAAGAGTGAAACAAGAGTCTTGTCCATGTTTACTTTTATGTCTAATTGGTTCTTTAATTAATGAAGTTCAAGGTTGAGTTAGACTCTTCAGTTGTTGCACATTCTTGAGTTGACGATGTTAGCTTACTTTTAAGAATGCATTAGTATATGTTAAAACTTCTCTATGATTTGCCACAGCTATTTGCTCTCATTCTTTGTTATTTAACAAATATTTGATGATTTAAATTAGTAATTGAATTCATAAAAGCTGTCTTTACTAGCGTTTTATTTGTTCATTTATTGTCATACCTTTTTAAATTAGATGGATTAACTACTTGATATACTGCTGTTATCCTATATATTCATTAGTACAAAAACAAATGCTATTTTTATTTTATTTTATTTTATAATGATTATGTTGTTATACATTCCTAGGGCTTGTGAATTCATGAAATTAATGTGAAGTCATTTCTCTTTGCAGGCAATTTTTCCAGTTTCTTTTCTCTTTTCAAACAGTCTGAAGTTCCCTGCAGAAAGGGATGATATTTTGAAACAGTATGAATTTTTTCCCAAGTTGTCTGTTCAAAATCCATCTTTAAATTCTGAAAAGGGACCAAGAAGAGTTCACTTGGAGCTTTATTTGGGGTGAGTGGATCATTGTGCTTGCTACCAGCATAGTTAATCTACATAGTAAAAAATGCAATTTATGTTCAATGTGATTTCTTGTTTTTCATTGTGGTGGCCTAGTGTGGAAATCTTGATTATACTAATTGTTTAGTTGCATAAAAACTTTTTCCATGTGGTATCATACAATAACCAGCCAATGCCTGGGAATGATGGAAGGTGATTAGTGGTCTAATTTTTTCAACTCGGTTGATTCTTATACATGTACTTGTGTCCATGGTGGGTGTACTAATAGGGAAATATGCTTGTGATATACTCTGATATTTGAATCCATAAAGTATTTTTATTTATTGTAAACATTACGTAAATTTTTTGCCTATACAAAAGAACTTTTGTAACTGTTTTTAACTGCACTTTTGTTTTCAATGGTCTTAAATCTGTTTTCTACACCACCTTGTGTGAATTAAAAAAAGTTGAAGGAAAATTAAAAAGTAGAATACCTAACTTTTTTACTTTTTTTCATGTATAACTGGATTTGTTTTCCTTTTAGTTCCTTGGAAGAGGTCTGGGTTGCTGTTCTCAACATCACTGGTCCTTTATCAAGTTGGTCGTTTGCAGATAATTTGCTTCCAGGTATGAAAATTGTTTCCTCCACTTAGGTCCGAAATTAAAATTATAAGATGATATTAGAGTCTATCTTAATGATTGTTATTAGTACTATCATGTTATTATTGGACTACCGGTACTCATATATGCCTAATTTTGTAAATTTAATATTTGAGATGTCTAGTTCTCATAATGAGAAGGTGTTGTAGATTTCATATTAAGTAGTAATATAATGAAAATAGTTTATATAAGTGGAGAAGAGTCTTCATATAAACTAAATTTTGGAGTTGAGTTAGACTCACAATTCTAAGTGGGTTTATAAATTTATAACCATTGCCTAATGTAGTTTACATTTGCAGGAACTGAAACCTATGGTGGTGGTCCACAATCATATATATGTCGTCTTAGTGGACCCAGTGATGGGAATTGGACCTTCTGGTTAGAGGTAAAATTTGATGCTGTATTAACTTCTCTTTACTATAACACTAACTTTTATTTTGTTTGATGACGTCAGGCTAACAGCTCTGAAGCATTAAGAGTGGACCTAGCAGTTTTAGACCAAAAGTTAGTTAGTCCAGCAAAGAGATTGAAGGATCTTTTCCCAGACTGGGTTGATGTTGTTGCCTATTCTAGTTATATGTCTAGCTATATCTTCTAAGAGTTATAGTTTTATGTCTTGAAAGGACATTTTAACTTGTTTCAAGACCAAATTTGTACATAATAGCTTTAGGAATTGACACTATAACTATTCGTTAAGTATCGTAATCCTACTTCCAGCATAGGAATTTATTCTTTATGTAAACGTTCTTAGCAGAAAAAGTAACATCGAATTTATAGATGCAAAACCAGAAGCAAAATTTGATACTAGATCTGAAGTGTCATAAATCCCTCTTTCATGAATTTGTTTTGTCAAACAAGTTTAGAAGAAGCCATGCCTATTTTAGACTGAAAATGGCACAAAGTTTTAGCCAATGCTTATAATAAGTTGTCAAGAAAATGATTGCTGGTGATGAGAGTTAAACCAATGGTTTGCAACCGAAGTGCTTTTTTGGTGCTGAACAATAATTGATATTTTGCAGAAATGATGTTCTAGTGTATTTGGGATAAGATTTAATTCCCGTTTCAGCTGTTTTTGTGGAAAAAAAAGATGTTTATAGGAAAAGGTGTATTTGAGACAAAAGTTATTTGTAAAGAGTTCTTTATTTCTCGAAAAATAAGTTGTTTTTATGGAGTTAGAAATTTAAAATTCATTATTATTTTTCAACTTTTTTTTTGTCTTTTAAAATTCATTATTATTTAAAATTCATCTTAAAATCACTTATTAACAAATTTATCCAAACAATTTTATTTTAGTTATAATCAATTAAAATAATAACCAATTATTGACATAATGGATTATTGAAATTATCGATCTTTTACAATTTTTTCAAACACACTCTTCATTGGACTTGTCTTTTTCATTTAGTTTTACTTTTAAATAATATTGAAATCTCTGCAAATCATAACCATTTATATTGAGCACTGGATCTTGATTTTATAGATGAAATCTCTTCAAACACATGAGCATTTAGTCATTAGCTTTTACACCGATATTTAATATTTTGTTGATCTGTATCCAGTAGTCAATATTTTTGAATAAAAGAAAGGTGATACTAGATTTTGATGATATAAAAAATTCTGGAAACAATATGCAATCAACAATGTGAGCCTCAGTGAAATAATGTGAACCTTGTGCAAGCAGAAATTATGAGTGCAGAAAAACTAATCCTGGTAGCAGTACCAGAAATACAGGAACATTGTTTCACAATGAAGTATGAAGCCTTAGTGAATAATAGGAAATAGCTTAGAAGCCTCAGAAGTTAGGAGTCTTAAGATTATCTGACCGAGAGTAGGCATTGAAAGAAAGGGGAGCAGAATGTTAATCCACATCTTCCCACTAATCGAAAAAGCAACGCATTTTAAGGTATCCTTGCTCTCTAGAGCACGTTTTAGAATTAGTTGATCTGAGAATGAATGGAAAGACTTTTGGGAGTTATTTAAAAACACAAAACTATTGAACTGTCTAATGCCTTTTGCAGCTCCTAAGATATTTTGATGCTCATATTCTTTCTTGGAAACAAAGAATGAAACAGAAAGAACAAATTCTACTGCAACGTCTCTTTGTTTGAGGAAACCTGTGGTACTGATTGTTGAATGAAATGATTTTCTTTTTTTTTTTTATGGAAATCGTCAGCATGATTAATTTTTAATAGGAAAAAAAATCAAATAGCTATAGTGAACAGAGATAAAATGACATTTGTTTGTCTTGAAGTTCCCCTCCTCCCAGCCCTCTCCATTCCTCTTAATTAGTTGGAATTCTTAGTCATTAGCTTTTAATAGTTGGCATTGGCATCAAGTTATGTGTGTGTCTGTGTGAGAGAGGAGAGTTATAATTATACCGGTGTAATTTTTATTAAGTATTATATCGCTCAATAACTTTATATTAAATATAAATTTTGTAAATTTAACTGTTAGATTAAAAGTTCTTTACTCTTAGATCATATATACAAAATTTTATATTAATTCAAGATGATTTGATACTTCATTCTTATAAAACAAAATTGATGTAATATATTTATTTCAAAATATACTAAAATATGAATACTTTGATTACTTTCAAGTTGTTCAATTTTAACAAAATTTGGTATAACATATAAAATGATATGAAATTTCATTTTAACAGTTAGATTTACAAAATTCATATGTGATATAAAGTTATTGAGCAGTGTAATACTAAGTAAAAGTTATCGGTGTTATTATAACTCACCTCTCTCTCTCTCTCTATATATATATATATAAAGAAATTCTCTTACTTTTTGTTAGAGTTTTATCTTGGAGAGTTAAATATTGGAAAACAATCTATCAATGAATAGTGAGTTTTTCTATCACTTATATATTACTCAACATGTCTAACTTTAATCAATGAGAAACTCATTTTACACTTGAACTCCCACCATTTCTCTCAAGCATGAATCTCTTCTACATGATCACACTCCTTTCTTAAGTAAAAGTCTTACGGTTATGCTTATTTTCATCAATACCTCATATTCTATGTTAGCAAAAGTATGCATAAAAGTACAACTATCTATCAATTTAAATTAATGAAACGAAATATTAAATAATTTTTAAATTTTTTAAAACTTTATAAATTTGATTTATGCATCAAGAATTTTTAATTTAATGATTAGATCGTTAAAATTTAATGTAGAACATGAATAATTGAGTGAAATAAGTTTAGATAGACTTTTAATGAAGTTACTCTACTCAATAATTTATAATATATGTTAAATTTTAACAATTCAACCATTTAATTAAAAATTCTTAATACAAAAATCAAGTCTACAAATTTTTTTTAAAAAATTGAAAAATATTTAATACTTTATTTCATTAATTTAAATTGACAAATTTTATACATCAATTTGAATCAATATAATAAAATAGCATATGATTTTTAAATTTTTTTAAACATTTATATATTTTAATGATTAAATTATTGAAATAAAATATACCATGAGTAATTAAATAAAATAATTTTAACAAAAGTTATTCTTAAAATAATTTGACCCCTCCTTTTAGTTATATATATAT